TATCCCATATTAAATTCTTCTTTAATCTGGGTACGCTGAACCCAACAATTGGCAGAATACAGCGGCCACTCTTATTGTTTTGAGGGGTGGATGGATCCTACTAACATCTGCTTCATTTTAGTTTGATTATTTTGTTTTATTTTTATTTTTGTTTTCTGGGATCATCCCCTCCCTATCATTCATGAAATGATAGAGGAGGGGGATGAACTTCCATGAAATTTTTATATATTTTTGTATGAAAAAAGAAAATTTTTTTTTAAAAAAAAAAAGAGACACTGAACATTTATGAATTCTTATGCCATGGGGTGTTTTTTAGGTCCCCTGTGAATATGTGGTATTGTGGTATATGTAGGATTGAGAGGTGATGGACAAGTTCTTGTGATGATTGTGTACATTGTAATGAATGAATGGGTCGTGATCGTGATTAACTAGGACTAGGAGAGTCAGTGGTGACCAGCTTTTCTTCATTTTCCCTTTGGTCTTGTGTCACAATTTTTGTATTTTACAAAAATAAATATACATTCCCAAACTGGATGTTTCTTAACCAGATAGATTTACCAGAAGATTGTTTTATCTTTGTGGAATCATTTAGTGAATTGAAAAAAAGTAAGTGACTCATTTTTTTTTGTCTATGTATGTCTATTGTCTGAAACATCCGTTGGTTTTATTGTGTCTATTTGTAGCATTGTGTCGTTTTCCTTTGGACTTTTAGTTTGTACATGTGCTGTTGTAGGAGCTCCGACGGTATGGTGTGTCTCCCCAGCAGCTTGAACAACTATCTTCTGCTACTCCATGAGCGTGGGCAGCAGATAGACCAAAGAAGGGCCCGGATTACTATGAGGGCCAAAAGGAAATCTTGAAAGACCCTGGTATTGTGGATGTAGGATTGAATGGTGATGGATGAATTCTTGTAGCAAATGAGCAAATTGCAATGAATGAATGGGTTGTGAATCTGATTAGCTAGGACTAGGATAGTTAATGCTGACCAACCCTCCCCCTTCAGCCTTGTGCCACAATTATGTATTTTCACCCAATAAATAATCATTCCCAACCTGCATTGAAGTCAATAGAGTTCATTGCATTCAGTTATATGCTAATAACCTTGGGAAAGTTATGGTTTAATTTAATGGCATATCAATTTCTTATGGGTCATTTAATGAAGTAATTTAATTTTCTTGTGAGCTTGAAGTAATAAACATATATATTATTTTGTTTTCACAATTGAATACATTTTAGATAATACTCAGTTTTTGTCCATATACATGTTTGTGTTAACATGATTACTAGAGGCAGTAATATGTGTGTTTTATGTTGTAGTTTTGTTGAAGTTATATTTTGGAATACAGTTTGATTTCTTTAAGAAATTTTAGGATATTATATAGATTAATGTCATGAGAGTTCTTTCATGTTGGTTGGTTGACTGATTTTGTTTAGCAGCCTATCAATCTCTATGGGTTATTTAGTGCTGAAATCTAAATATTTTGAACACAATTTTATGGCTCAACTAATTACATATTATATATAGTTATTGTTGGTAATTTTACTATAAATAGGTATTGTTGGTAATGTTTTTTTATATAAACATATTTTTTATACTTTTATAGTATTTTATTTTCCTGTAGGCATATTGCTGATATATAGATAATAGTGATAATTCATTAAAATTGACTTTAGCACCTCTTATATTCTACTGTATATATGTATTAGCACCTCTTATATTCTACTGTGTTTGTCATTGTTTTTGTTTATTTAGGGATTTAGGTTGATGGTCCTAAGTGGGTTGTTAATTTGTGGTATAGGATTTTGTTTTGCCTTTTTTTACTTTTGATTTTGTTCTTGGCAGTGCAATGACTTTCCTCTATTTTCATTTTGTTTAATGAATCAAATCAATTTTTTATTTCCACTTATGATCTATGTCCTTGGAGTCTTTGTCTTGTGTTTTTATTGCTGTTTGTTTTTGGTTCTTCAGGGGATCTCTCTTTTTGAGATCCTGGTATTGTTTAGTGAGGTGGAGGGCAGATTGTAGATCTTTGTGATCTTGGATTGGTAGCATTAATCTTTATGGTAAAGTTTTTTGGTATCTTTAGAAGGGGTTCTGACAAGTAATTGTTCTTTTATATTAGTTTCACTTTTATTGCTCAAATTCATTCTAATTTCTTGTATCAATTGGGGCCAATCATTTGCACCCAGTTGCATAAATATTTTTTATCAGTGTTTTATATTTATTTTTAGTTTTTTATGATAATACTTTTTCTTTCTTCCATATCTCACATGGCATAGGCTGGGTGGCTTTTGCTGCAGTTAGCGTATTTGTACACGTCATCACACTCCTTTATCATGTGGTTTGGGTCTCATTGACCACATTCCCTGCACACAGTTTTTCCATGGCAGGGATCTTCATGATGACCAAACTTTTTGGACTTTATAACATCATAGAGGGTTTGGGATATGATGTTTGATATTCTTGGTGTTATAGCCTATTTTGACTTATTTTACAATTGTAGGCATATTGAATATTAATACATATGCATTTGTTTGTATTTGCTCTCACTTTTATTTAATGCTGACTTATATTATGTCAATGATTTCTTATTTTTTAATTCAGTTATTTCTTTTATTTATTTATTTTACTCAACATGTTTTAAACATTTTATGTTATTTATAAGCACTCTTGGTTTAATTCGCTGTAATTTTTTTTTTTTTTTATTCGTCAACATGTTTTAAACGTTTTATTATGATATTTATAAGCACTCTCGGTTTAATTTGCTGTAATTTATTTATTAATTTTAATTGCCGAATTTTTCTTATTATCTCTGTAAATAGTAATTACTAGCTGGTGAAATGAAACTTGATGGGAAGTGGGTAAAAACGGAAAACATAATTACCTTCTAAGTATCCGATGAAAGGGTGTCCACTCAAAAATGAAAAAATTACCTGTAAACAGCTTAAATAGAGTTTGCACCGTTGTGATTGGCTGTTGATCAAAGTCCAATCAAATGTGTGATAATGGGTTACATTTATAGAAGTCAGTGTCTACAAGCATTTTTTAGAGGGTGTATCAGAGTCTGATCAGCTCTGATGGGTCGACTTGGTGAGGTCAGTATGATGTTTGAAAAACCTGAAACTGCCCAATGATCCAATTCAGAACATCACTGACAACGCCCTCTAGCGCTAAAAGAGCGTATATTCAAAGCAGTTCCATGGAGCAGTGGGACATCTCTTTGCTTCTTATCATTCCTCTTGAGGCGTTCAATGATTTGTGCCAGTAGGCTTTAATTTTTACTTTATGGAACTTTTTCATCTTCAGAAGTGTGCCAGCATCTTTTTCTAGTTCAACAAGTATTGTTCTATTTTATTTAGGTTTTTGACATTGTTTGGCATTACTTTGGAAGATATTACATTTATATAAAAAATGGTGAGTATTTGTGAGTGGATTCTCCTCTTCTGATTCCAAGATTATGAAACTTGGGGATGATACTCATTCCTCATCAGATTATATTTATGTGTGCAGCTGCTTGGGAGTTTTTTTGGAATTAGCCATATAAGTATTATTTGAAGTTCATTGACCAGCCTTCCCACCTGCCATGGAGCCACACACAGGGATAGGCCAAGGGGGAAACCCATTTGTCTTGGCCTATCAGGGCTACCCAATCAGTATACTCACACTGGGAAAGGAAACAGTTTTAAAAATCCCTGAACCTTGGTACCCAAGATTATTACTAACCAGGGGATATTAAGTTACCAATATTCCTCCTTTGGCATGACTGACCCTATAGCCACTGCCTTGTGATTTGAGAGAAACCAAATAAGGGCTTAACATGACCAAACCGATTGATCGGATCGGGCCACTCTGACTGTCCATCTAGCACATGTAAGGGCCAAAGTGATGTGTTGGGAATCAGAAGTATCTAAACATGACTTCTGAGGCCGTCAACCACCAGGATCCTGTCCCCAGACATTACGGATGACCACCCATGGCAAACAGGTGGCCTCATTTAGTTTACTTTTCTGCAGAGGTGCAGTCGGCATATTCTGAAGCGAGGGAAAGGTATCATTTGATCTCTTTCCCACCAGCTATGAGTAAATAGTAGTACAGGCTGGGCCCTATAGCCTTGTTTGGCAACCAGCATAGGAGAAAGAAAAATGGAATTTGGACCACTTGCTGCCTTGTAGGTCTGCCTCTTTAATTTCTAAGAGAAGTGATGGGGTAACTGCAATATCCCCAGTGCAAAAAGAACCAGCAAGCCATTGCACTATCTTGCATTGAGTGTCACCATGAACCACAATTGTGAGATGGAGGGCAATGGTGGCCACAATGGTGTAAAATGTACTAATTAAAAAAAAAAAGATGATGATGTCGTTAAATTAAAATACACACACACACACACACACACACACACAGCAAACACAATTTGAATGGAATTGAAATGGTCATCTGTGTTGCAATGGCTACTTTCAATTTCTGTCTGTCAAAAAAAAACAACCGAATAACAGAAAAAGTCTACAAGTCAATATATATGACCATTTGAAGTCGTTTTTTATGACTCCTTCTGTATTTAAACTGAATATATTTTGTAATAAAGGTAGTATTTCAGATGGATAAACAATTTGGATTTGAAATTTTATCATTTTGCCATCAATGTAACAACTGGCAAAAAATAACGACCTAATCTCAAAGTTATTGTTGAAAGAAAACACTTTGTAAAAAGTAATTTCCTAAATTTACAAACATAAACCTTGAAGAAGTCTCAAAGAACATAGAATGAAAAATTGAATTCTTCACTGAGAATGAAGGCTAAAAATAGAAAAGTTTACCCATAAATTTTAAGCATATTCACAAGAAATATTTTAATATTTTGCATTGAAGAATAAGGCATAAAGAGAGATATACAAGTAACAGTGATTTATTATATCAAGCATAAAAACAATCTGCAACCGTCCATTTCGCCTCTAATAAAAATGATAATTGAGAATGTTGTATTATTTAATATTTTCTCTACTTGTTTCTGGATTGTCTCCCTTCCCTTTGTTAACATATGTCCTTGCTCCAAAGATAAGACTTCCAACGCGGACACTTGAGCTACCCACCTCTATCTGTAAAAGAGAAGAAAAAAAAAGAAAGAAAAAATAACCTGTACTCAATATTTAAATAAAGTTATTTTTCAAACTGACTTTATTATTATTAAACTCTATATTTTATTATGTGTATGCATGTGGAAATGTAACAAATCATCATCTTCAGTTTTGTAACCAGGTGTGGTCATAAGATTGTTGCATAGCTGAACACTAAACCAGCTCTCCTCATAGGTCTTAGTTTTGTGCTAATCTGTGTGTCTGGGAAGCATTCTCCAGTCCAATCAGTGATGTTGTTAGCCCATTTTTTACTACCTACCTTTTCTTTTTTTGCCTAATATGGTACCTTATAGGATTGCTGTGGAAAGATTGTTGGTTACTATGATGTACAATACAATCCCAACTTTTTCTTCTTGACAGTGGTTATGTGGTCTTCCAATGAGCCTGTTTCTTGTTTGATGATGACTCAGCACCGCAAACTATATCTGTGATATCTAGGATGGTTCTGTAGCAACTTATTTCTAATGTTTGTATTCTGCACTTTAATTAAATTACACTATTTAAATTCTTATCCAAATTTACATGTGGATATATATATATATATATATATATATATATATATATATATATATATTTAATTTAAAGAGAAACAGACCACTTTAAGACTCCATTGTAATAATTTATTTCACCAGAGAATTTTATTTTTCTCTGGATCTTCAAACTTCACTTTCAAAAGGTGAAACGAAGAATGAAATTAAAATTTACACTTTTGTCAGGCAGTATTAAGCTTATATAAGTTGACATAGAGAGTGGTGTGGGATGGTATGAGAGGGAAGGGAGAGTTTTAAAATTTATTTTTATATTTCTTTTTATTATAATACTTAATATTAAGGAAGGAGGGGGTAAAGATCACACATTGACCTATTTAATTGGTCAACTCAACAGAAATGATATGGGAAAAGGAAAAGGTGAAAAAAGTGAAAAAGAAAAAAGAGGGAAGTAAAGAGATAAGAGATGTATGTAGGGTTTTGGGGGGAAGAAGAGGGGTAGAATAGCTTTAGCAATTTAGATAAAAACAGATTTTGATGTTTGATAGTAATTTAAATGTTTAAAAACTCCACAAAGAAAATAAATTTAATGCTTGTTATGTGTCATCCACAGACACTGTTTCGCTGTATCACAGCTAATCAGTGTGGCTAGACATCCAATTGCCTCAAGCCAGGATTGAAACCTAACTGATCTAGTATCAGCTGGTGATTCTACCCCTGAGCTATCAGTGCTCAGTTGAAAGGAAGGCAAATTTTTACTAACTGAATTACCTGTGCCTTGCTGTGTGTCACACATTTTTTTTTTGTAAGAAAATGATTGATTTTAAATCATTGTTATAATTTGGGGAGAAAAATGATGCATTTCAGTATTACTCAATGATTTTGCAAATGTGACCTCCATCTTCTAGCTTTCTCCTTTTATATTTTGGATAGGAGTCATTCCCTTGTTCAAATTTAAATTTAATTTAAATCAAAAGGGAAAAAAATTTTCAGTGAGTGGGGGGTGCAAAAACAGCTTGATCTAACTCCTTTGATATGTATATGTATTTGACGCAATACTTGATTGAATGAATTGATGAGCAGATTTCAACATATACTTATCCAAGTACCCTGAGTAATGTAGTTTCAGAATATATATGGTTATGGAGGTGTATTTCCAAACCCTAGGAGGAGTTCAATAACAAACAAACAACAAACAGATAGAGGCTAGAATTTTATATATATATATATATATATATATATTATTTTAAATCTCACATAAAATGGTACTTACTGCATGTTCAAAATCATTTGACATTCCCATACTTAACTGAAGGTCTGCTGGATTTAAATGGAATTCTTCACAGATCTTTTTCTGGCATTGAAGTAATTTCTAGAGATACACCAAAAGAAAAAAAAATCAAAAAAAAATCTGAGTTTAGAATTCACAAATTCAACTCAAGATACTGTGACAAATTTTGTTAAGAATTTTTTTTAATCATTTCACTTAATCTTAAACTCTTCAAGTTTAGAGTTAACTGTTATCTTCTTCCCCCACATATCCTCATAAACAGCACTTCTCACCTTTTCTTACCACTCATACAACAAATTCTTTCAGTGACAATCTACTTTGAGTGGCTCTTGAGCCTTGTATAATGTGAACATTAGTTAAAAAAAAGTTTGTTATTTGCCTGATGTACTTACCATTTTGTCAATGAAGTTTTTATAATTCACACTGGACAGCTTGAATCAAAAACACTTCATTTGAGGGTTGGTGCCATGTACCTGACTTAACTAATGAAAAGAGACCCTATATCAGTGTAATGGTTAACAAGTCGCACAGACTAGTTCAGATCCTTATAGCTAGGTCACATACAGCTACATCATCAGAGTTTCATTCTCATTTCCTCAGTATCCCAGATGTAAGGAGAAAGTTCCATAGACAGTTTTGTCGAACAGGCTCCCACATGAATGCTTTCCAAACCACTAAAATCTTAACCTCTTCAAGTCCAGTGTTAACCATTATTTTTCCCACATATCTTCATAAACTGTGCTTCTTAGCTTTTACTTTTACCACCTATACAACTCCCTCTACTTTGAATGGTTCTTGGGCCTTGTATAGTGTGGTATAAGTAAAAAAAAAGAAAAAGAAAGGACAGTTATAATGCTTTTCATTATAAAAGTGTTCTTTGTTTCTTTTCATGCAAATATTTTAAGAAAATAAAATCAGAAAGGTGGTCAAATAATAAATGAGAGAAAATATTCCAGTGATGAGGATGGTAAGAATTTAAAAATCTGGAAACCATTTCAAGAATTCTGTTATACTTACCTGAAAATCTGGATTTGGACCTTTACTGAGGTCATGATTATAAGCGCCAATTGTCATGAGACCCTCTAGCTTCAAATTTGGGCATTCGTCTCTGATGATCTTAACAATCTTCCCAGCCTCCTCTGGATCACAGCCATTCTTTGCTGTAAATGATACAAACAGGATCTTAAAAAAACAAACAAAAAAAACAAACAAAGGAATTAACTGTTTCAAAATTTTACCTTTCAATTTTAGTATAGTTGTGCTGGCTACACTGGCTTGGATGGAAGAATTCCGAAGCTCCTGTACAGGGAGCTGGCCACCAGCAAGAGGGCGACCTTATCTTCGCTTCAAGGATGTCTGCAAGAGGGAAATGAGGGTAATGGACATGGATATCAAGAGGAGGAAAGACATTGCCATTGATCTCTCATGCTGGAGGTTTGATTTGCACTGAGGTCTGGAGCAAAAAGAGGTGAAATGAAAGCTTACCACTAGGGAGAAGTGTGCTTTATAGAAATAAAAAAACAAGGTGACTTTGAGGGAGAGTGTTTTCACATGCATTCGTTGCAATCGAGACAGCCATTCCTGTGCAGGTCTGTACAGCCTTAACAGGTACTGTGCTGCCATCAGCAGCTGAGGTTTACTTTTTGGGTGTAGATCCAGGATCTCTCAAAACCAATGGATAACATATATATCTGTCTATATCTCTGAAATGAGGTATTAGTTATATTATTCAAACTGTTATCCTCATTTTCATTGCCATATTCACAACATTTTGGCTGGTGTACATTCTGGCTTTCTTCAGGTGATTGGAATTTTGAACCAAATGCTTTATTTCATCCACCAGTGTAGATTTTTTCTAGTTCCATGTGCCATGCCTGTTTAGCATATCTTAGTTATTTTCCTTTAACAAACATTGTGCATGCATGAGATTAAAAATATAAAATGGCGACAATTTACCCATCTCACCCTGTATATATGAACTTTGAAAGATGGGAAGATGTTGCCAAGGGCTGGAGCAAGGAGAGGAGAAATGAAGGCTTATCAGTGAGGAGAAGCTTGCTTGAAAGAAAGAAAAGAACAAGACAACATTGGGGTGGGGGAGCATCTTCAAGTACATTCATTGCAGTTGAGACTGCCACTTCTGTGTGGGCCTGTACAGCCTTAACAGATACTGCACCACCATCAGCAGCTGCAGCCTAACTCTTTAGGTGCAGATCCAAGGTTTATTGAGAGCAACAGATGTCACACATATAGTATAGTAATTAATCACTAGCTTATGGTCAAATTATGCTGAAAACATCAGTTCTTGCTCATTGAAGATAAGCAGTGTTGAGTCCGGTCAGTACTAAGATGAGTGACTGTGTGCGAACAACTGGATACAAAATTGGTTGGGTATAAAGCTAAACACTTCATCCTGTAAAAACTTTGTTGCAGGCATTAGTATTTGAGCTGAGAAATAACACATGTTTCCTGAAATACCCACAATAAAAATGATAGACTTGGTATGTGAATCCACATAAATAAATGCAAAGAAACAACACAAACCAATACATGTACAAATAAATGATAATGTATTAACACAAAATGTATACAAATGACAAAGACAATTATGTGTGTAACAAAAGAATGTGAAAAACTTTTGGTCCAAAGGATGTGTAGTGAGTAAATGTGCATACGTACATGTGTGTGTGTGTGTGTGTGTGGTTTGTGCATGCGTTTCTCAGTAGGAAAGGCATTTTCATGCGATAGACTTACATGTTGATGTGTAAGCATAAAAAGTAAGGAGAGTGAGAAAAAAATATTGCAAAGTATTTATAGTCAGGAGAGCATACCCTAGTAAAAGTTTCAGGAAGTTAACTCTACAACTTAATTGCTATGGAAACCACAGTGCAAACTGTAGCCACCTACTTCTCAGTGGAGTCTATGTGACTAAAGGAAGAGAAGAAATTATGCATCAAAGTTATGTAATACCATGAAATAGGACATTTTATATATATATATATTGGGCTAAGCCATCAGGAATTGCAAATCAGTGCCTGGAAATGTAGTGTCTTGTCTATCTGTGGTAATAAAAATAGTAAGTTCAGCTCAAGATTGGTGTTAACATAGCTGAAATTCCTCTTTTATAATTGCAAATGGACAGGGTACCACACACACATAAAATGGACGAGCAGGTGGTGTAATGGATATCAGTTTGAAATGAGAAATTGTATAGCAATGTTCAAATCCCATCTGAATTTGTTGCATTCACTTATATGCAAAAACTTTTGGTATGAATCTCTCACTTCTCCCTCAGATATAGCTTAAATAGTAGGACAGACAGGCATCTTTAGCCTTGGTTGGTAACCAGCCTAGGAAAAGCACAACTATGAATTTGAAGAAGACTGGGGACTTTGTGGCACCCTATGTGTACCAGTTCTTTATATTCAGCTCTTCTGAAAAGTTTTGATAGTTTTGTATAAACCTTCACCACTATAATCAAATCATATTTTCAGATAGTCTGACTGTTAAAGTTTAGGGGCTGAATTGCTGGTTGAAAAGAGAATTCATCATATATACATAATATGTCTTAGCTGTGTATTTGGGCACCAACCCTTCTATAATAAATGCTTCATTAAAAATTAATAACAAGGTAATTTGGTTAAGTTTTTTATTATGTTTTTTTGTGTATGAACAAGAGATTTCATTTTTGAACTTAGCACATATAGAAATTGACCAAATGATTGTTTTGAGTGCTTTGGGGCTAATTTATTCTCAAGGATTTTCATCGTGATAGTGCAATTGGCATATTGTTGGAAGGGAGACATATTTTTAATTCTTGAACAAGGTCAGTATATTATGGCTGTATTTGTAGTTGAGATTGTTGGTTGGCATATCAATCTCTATGGCTTATTTAAAGCAAATATCTAAATATTTAGAAATGCAATTTTCTGGCTTCAACTAAATATATTTTGAATGTAATTGTATGCTTTCAATTACAGATAAAATATATTTCTGGTTATTTTGCTTTGAAAATGTATTGTTGGTCAATCATTTTATAGAAAAATGTATTGCTTGTATTTTTATACTTTCATAGTGTTTTATTTTTGTTTGGGGGTTCACTATTTGCCCATAGCAGGGTCTGGGTAGACCTGAGAACAACAGCAATTAAAAGGTGGTTCTATACTCCCCAAAACCTCCTTCCTGCCAGATATAGATTATCATCATACCCAGGACAAGTTGATATTGTTATTGATTGTTTTATATTCTATTATTTTTAGCTTTTTTTAAACAGTTATTATATTTGTGTTTTCAATGAATATATTGCATATCAAAGTTAGAATGTTTACATGATGCTAACCTTCTGCAAAAATTGTTTTTTTAAGTCATGTAGTTCAAGATCACTTTTGTCTCAAGAACAGTTTTCTGTCAACTTTAAAGGCAGATGATTTAAATAAAGATGACTGTTATTTCTTTCTAAGTCATGAAATTTAAGATTGTCTTTGATGAGAATTAACTTAGGAAACTGATTAAATTCTTAATCCTTAATATTTTGGTTGAATAAATTTAGTTTCTTAAATAAAGAAGTGATAATTTTAAATGCAATGTGTACCATAATTTATATCTTCAAGGAATAAATTCATTTAACTTTGTGAATATATAAGTTAAATGAAAATAAATCATTCTTTCTTATTTTTAATTTATGACACATATCAGGTTCTTTGGCATTCTTAAAAACTGCAATACAAGCTTTGCCTTTTGATACCCATTGGACTTCTCAGCAAAGAATCAAATACATTTCATCAGTTTTATGTAATACATTAGCATATAATTACACAAATATGTCACATCTTTGCCTTTTGATACCAATGGGCTTAAAATCACAAATTAATCACATTGAACTACCCTGACTGAAAGCAACAAAAGAGTGTAGTGTTTATATATACAAACATACATACACACACAATATATATATATATATATATATATATATTACTGTATCAGAACACAAAAACGATGAATGGACAAAGAAACACACATTGTAGAATATGAACTTTCTCCTCACAAACAATGTAACATCTGTACTTGAAATGTAAGATGTGGTCAAATTTATTACTTTCTTGACTTTGTTAAGCTCTTCAATATCATTGTGCTTTTCTGATGTTGTTTCAATTTTAAACATTTCTCTTTTAAGGTTTTCATTTGTTCAGTTACCCACTTTCTTCCTTTTACCTTCTGTTCTTCACTTGATACTTTTTCCCAGAGTTGCATTAAAACAAGCATAATGACAAGGAACAAGATTTATATATATATATATATATATATATATATATATATATATATATATATTCAAACAGGTTTGGTTTATTGGTAGCCGGAGAAAATTGATTAAGAAAAATAGCCAAACTTTTTTTCAAATAACTTTTATTTTCCCACGTACTTTCAGTCTAAAATACATTCAGTCTCCATCTTTGGGAGGTTAAATTGTGTATGTGTATATGTATTTCTGTAGATTCTAAACATTTTTACTGTTCATTTTACTGTGATTTTTATCATTCTATATCAATTTCAAATTCATAAGGTTTATTCTCCATGCAAATGAAGCAATTTTTTTTATTTGTCTATTTATTTATTACTAGCAGTAGAGCCCGGCGTTGCCCGGGGATGTAACAGTAAGAGATAGATCAAGTATCGACTATCATAAAGACTGAAAAATAAAATTGACAGAGATTATTGTTTAAGGTTGACAGACACGCATGTCTTAATTAGTTTTATTTTATTTTTTTTTTATGAATTGGTCAAACCCAAACCCAAACAAAAACATTGTTTTCAATCGTTATGAGTCTACCGATTGAATAGAATTTTATTATAAACGATTGTCTTGTAAATGGAATTTTTAAAGCATTCTGAATGTCAAAATAAAGAAAAAAAGTGTGCAAGGCAATAAGAAACACTATCTGCCAAAAAAAAAGTGAAGTTTTGTTGAAATCGGTTGAAAAATGTAGGAAATCTGATCCCATATATAAACAAACACACACACACACACACACACACATAAAGCAGATATCTAAATATTTAGAAATGCAATTTTCTGGCTTCAACTAAATATAAAATCACCTATTGGTTAATTTTTCCTCCAATCAGATATTTTTCGTGTTCTTTCAAAATTTATCCCGCGTTTGTGCTGGGAGCCTACCGGTAATAATATAAGCCCGGATTCGTTCCAAAATTGGACAGGAGAGTTGAAGACAGTAGAACTCAACAACTCATACACGTCTACACAGATTATTCATTCTACTCCTGAAGCACACACACACACGGACACAGAACTTGAATATCCTTCACCTTCAGTTCTTTGTGAACAAGCCAAGTTGCAACAGCTCTGTTAGTTATACAAAACACACAACTGAACTTACTTCTGAATACACATTCTACACATGTACACATTCTATTTCAATACAGAACTTTGAACATTCTCTTCAGAAAACTTGCTTTATTACATTTTACCTTATTCAACTAACAGATAAAGGGAAACTACTTTTTCTCATTATTCACATTACAAAAATTGCTTTGTATTTGTTGATTTTAATATATATTTTATCGTTGAAACATAAATCGGTTTTTCATTGTTTTTCCTTGATTTAAAAATGTATAAATGTTAAATGCACTTCAACATGCAACCACATTAATCTTTTCAACACAACCAGCATTTACACCATCATACGTATATACGTGCATGTGAGAAAACATTATTCAGCGAACAAAAATAGAAAAATGGTCTGCGCATTGACAGTGCAACAAACAAGAAATATTCCAAAATGTGAATGTGGACATGAGTGTTCCTTTAAATACTGCAAGACTGAACTATGCTCATCCAAGTGAAATGTACGGCTTCTCGACAGCATGATTATATAAAAACCAATATACATATATATATATATATATATATATATATATATATATATATATATATATCTATCTCAGGGGTAACAGCAAACGTATCCAAATTGTGTAACAGCAGAATTGTCCAATTGCTAGATTAAGCTTTGAACCGTTGTATCTTAGAAATGATTAAAGATATCTTACTGGAATTCTCTGAGGTTTTTATAACATTATTGAACTCTACTTTGAACAATAAGAATGTATTTAGCTCTAAGTAGAAATGATGATCTCTCTTCCTGTTGTGATCTCCTGATCCAATTTTCCTCTCTACTGTTGCCTCTTTTTTTTTTTTTTTTAAAACTTATTCACTGTTCTATTGATGATTCTTGAATGGACTTTGAAGATGGAAGCCAGAGTATGAATGTTTGTGCCATTACTGAAGACTTGAATGATCTTTTTTGTCTCACCCTTGTTAAGTTGCGAAGACACAGTGGGGCTGACACAAAATGATTTTAACTTGTTCTCTTTCTAACTGAATAATTCAAAGGGTTTTTTCTGTGATTTTTATGACAAATGGTATCAAGGTGGCTAAACATCTTATCTGAAAACCTGATAAAAGAAACTCATTAGTTGAGTTGTCTTTGAGATTTTAAACATTTTGCAGTATAGATAATTATCCCGTGTTACATGATTTGAACAATTTTGCTGTTACACCCGGTATATGAACCAAGTAACTCACTTTCTTCACCACTTGTGTTGATTTGTACCATAACTGACAGAGGTGTTTCCCGTTTTCGATTTTGACATGCTGTGTTCAATGCAGTAGCAAGTTTTTTAGAATCCACTGTCTCCACCATGAATAAATTGGGGGTATCTGAAAACAAGAAAAAAAAAGAAAAGAAATAGAAAACAAAACTGTCTTCTTAATAGTACTTTTGTTGCTGTGAATGTACTTATACAGCTTTATGAAATTTACATTACCTACTGTTGATTATAAAATATATATATATATATATATATATATATATATATATATATATTTCCAAGTTATATTTACAGGTCTTTATGAAAATTACATTACTTGCTGTCAACACACATATAGGTATAGAGGTGGGTAAATCAAATAACTACATATTAGCAACTGTATATGTGCATACTAAATTTAGTACACAAACATTTTAGCTGTAATCCTTTACTCAATAGAATCTTCAAGAAGAACAACATTAAGATTAGTTACAGCTGCACTAGAAACCTTGAGTAATATATAGCACAGTATAACAGAATGACTTTAAACAAATACTTAAGCAACACTAATAGCAATGTTAACACTGAAAAAAAGTGTAATTGCCATAAAGGCATTATCTGTTTGATGAATAACAAATGTATGTATAAAGGTGTCATCTATAAGGTTAGCATTAGGTATAAATGGAGAAACGAAATTTTATTTTGGTTCAACAGCTAATACCTGGAAAACGAGATTTTATTCTCACAAAATGACACTTAACAATAGGAAATACGAAAATGCCACAGCACTCTCAAAATTCTATAGGAATATCAAAACAGATGTTTACACACTGATCATAAATTGGGATTTTGCCACCAAAATTACACCCTTTTCTGGCTGAGGAGAACGATGCAAAAAGATTCATCCTCAAAAATATTAATAATTTAAATCTACTTAATAAACGAAATGAACTCATGCTAGGTTGTAGTCATAGAAAAAAGTTTCTCTTAAAATATTTTAATTCTGGATAATTTATTATTCAGATTTTGCTCTCATATCCCATATTTGTGGTTATATATTGATTACTCCTCTTTAACTGTTTCAACATATCATATCACTCAGAGCATCAACCAGCATTCCTCTTTTAAACTTGCTTTTAATTTTAAAAAGATTTTGGGCCCCTTACTTACACCCTATTTTCTGTAATTACATATTTGACTTATTTTAAATTTGAGCTGTGAATCTGCATGTAATTTAGAGCTCCTCTCATGAGACTCAGTATAATATCTTTTTTTTAAATCATAAGTTATATTTTGTGCCTGATGAGTTGAATGTTGCCATGATCCTTGCCTTCAGTTCATCATTAGTGATACAAGGAGTTTTGTTGGTCTCTCGCTCAGTTGCAACCCACACATCAAGGGGGTTGCAGTCTGAGGAGTTAGGTAGCCAAGTAAGGAGATATGTGGTTGTAGAAATTGTCTGAGAGCTATGACTGGGTTCTCCTGCTTATTTGTCATGATGCAGAGTCCAGTTGCCAGACATAGGGTTTCCAGCAGCCATCCTCTTGACCCAAGGCAGTACCACCTTCTCAAGGCACTTGATGTAGGCTTCTATGTTGAGTCTGAGTCCCTGTGAGAAGATGAATGGAAGCATAATGTTACCTTCACTAGTGATCACACCAAATACCTTTGTAATCACCATTAGACTTATCCAACTCTTTCCAAATCATCTGCACTGTCCTCAGATTGACATCCAAACACTCTGAAATGTTTGTATTGCAGCTTCCGGCATGAATACCAAGCATGCTGTTTCCAAATTTCTGGCAGAATGAATACATATAAAAAGTTGAGAAAAAACACAAGCACATGGCCTGACGATTACATTTAGCATGAAACAGACAGTCATCTCTGGGTTTTGGCTTCAATGTCAACTTTTATATTTACATAAGACCTATCCCTGGTATTGAGCACTTTAACACATAAATATAGTATACTTTAAAAATATATTTTATTATATATATATATAGTGTGTATTTAGGCAGCATATTTTCATTTATACACGTTTCATTAAATAATATAGACAAGTGTTGTCTATTTATTTTATGTAAATTTTTTTTGTAACATCTGATAAGTTTAATAACATTATCGTTGAACGAAGAAAGAAATTCATAATATTGATCCATATTTTTTTTAATATAATCTAAGCTTTCGGCTTACTTAAGCCATTATCAAAGATGTCAATTACAACATATTAAGCAATATACGGACAAGACAGTGATGATAGTCTGTCAATGTTTACATAGATGATTTCTAAGCAACGATAAACACGTGCATATAAGACGCTAGAAGCGAAAATCACACCACATCTCATGACGTCACACATGACCACATGAGAGTGAATTGGAGAATGAAGTATGGAAAGCCGTTGGTATAAACCAATGGCTTCTGTTACCAATTATAGACATTTAACAATATTTGTAGTGATGCCATAATTGATTTTGTTTAGGTTGGGTTTCAACTGTTTGATGTATAATGCTACAAGTATTTTTAGTTTTTGTCTATTGTTTTCATGTCGAAGTATAATTTTGTTTTTGACAAGTATTTTATGGAATTGTGTGTGCAGGCAGGCATGTTGTTTTAAATGCCTAAAAATACATGAAAACAGAAAAGAAACATTTTCTGGTTTAACCCACCATACAACAAAACTGTCAAAACAAATATAGGAAGGACACTCTTAAACTTAACAGAAAAGATCTTCTCTGTAACAAACCAATTAGCAAAAATATTCAACAAAAATAACGTTAAAATTAGCTACAGCTGCACTAAAAATATATCAGAAATAATAAAAAGCCACAACAAAAAAGTAACAACCTGCAATAGCACAACAAAGGAACCTCAATGCAACTGCAGAAATAAAACATGTCCACTCCAAGGAAACTGCCAACAAAGAAATACAATATATAAAGCTAAGGTAAGTGCAAACAACAGCACAATGTACTACATCGGTGTCACTGAGGGACCATTCAAAAAAAAGAAAAAAACAAATATGACCTTTCAGTCTCTCACAGAAAATACTCAAACAGCACTACATTATCCACATACATATGGCATCTAAACAACAGAAATATTACACCAAGAATTAGCTGGGAAATATTGAAAAACACACCTGCCTACAACAACATTACAAAGAAATGCCTACTTTGCCTACACAAAAAGGTAGCAATAATTTCTCATACCCAACAAAAGAAATTATTAAACATAAGATCAGAAATAATTTCTAAATACAGACATGAAAACACATACCTATTATCACAATTTATACCAAACAGATAAAAACCCCACAAAACCAACAAACACTACTATATAAACCACCATTGACCCTATGAACATGAAAAGAGAAACCACTGACACCATAACACCATCAATTATTTTCTAGTTCAAACTACCATCATAATAATTATAATTATTGTTATTACCATTCCACCACCATTACTACAATCACTTCTACCATTTTACAATAACTATTTGCTGCTACAGTTATTATCATCAACCACTCCCCGACCATTACTATTGCATCACAATTACCATTGCTGCATTAGGCCACAATTACTACTGCACTACAATTACTATTACCACATCAGTCCACAATTATACTTCCTTCCCATCAAAATTAATACCACTGCATAAATACAAATAAGTATTATAAATTAGAGTTTCTACCATTTACATAAGCGCAATCACCAAAAACAAGCAAATAACTGACTTTAAAATAAAAAACAGCATAAAAAAATATAAAAAATAAAAAATAATAACAATTTTACCTACCATGATCTTACACAGACCCCCCATCTAAAAAAAAATCCCAATAAAACAGACGCATAGAAGATGTGTGAACATGTGTGCATATGTATATATGTATGTGTGAGAAAACATTATTCTGCAAACAAAATAGATGTACAGTCTGCACATTGACACTGCGACTGATAGAAGTTCGCTACACAATCCAACATTGAATACAGTGACCAATTGCATATGTATGTATGCAATGACACATGAATGCACATATATGCCCAGTCCCATACTGTCCATATATGTTTATGTTTGTAGGAGCTCCAATGCATGAACATTCGTGTATGTATGTCTGTGTACTTATGAGTGGCGTTCCGATGAAAATTTTTCCTTCCACTACCATAAAATCACCAATATACGCAACCATATATGAATCCAAAATTTAAAAATTAATCAGTTTTTCTGACAATTGAAAATAGCATGAAACCCAGCGTTTCAAAGTCACATCAATCCAACAAAATATATGTATATTACAAAATAGAATATATATGTATATATATATATATATATATATATATATATATATATATATATATATATATATATATTTTTTTTTTTTCTCTCCTTCTTCCTTTTGTCTGGACAAATTGACCCCATTTATTAAAAAAAAATTGGTCTGAAGTGACGAATACTTTTTTATATATTCATGAAATAAATTATAACTGAATGAATTTTTAAGCATTGTCTGTAATTATATATATATATATATATATATATAAATATATATATTTATAAATTCGTTTTTCTAAATTTAAAATTCCCATTGTTTCTCATTTGTGCACATTAATGTAAACAAACCCAGCCCACTGAAGTCTTAAGGGTCACAAAAACTTTTTCACTTTGTCATACATCTTTTATATATATATGTATATATACTAGCAGTAGAGCCTGGCGTTGCCCGGGGATGTAACAGTAAGAGATAGATCAAGTATCGACCATCATAAAGACTGAAAAATAAAATTGACAAAGATTATTGTTTAAGGTTGACGGACACGCATGTCTTAATTAGTTTTTTTTGTTGTTTTTTTTTACGAATTGGTCAAACCCAAACTCAAACAAAAACATTGTTTTCAATCATTATGAGTCTACCGATTGAATAGAATTTTATTATAAACGATTCTCTTGTAAATGGAATTTTTAAAGCATTCTGAATGTAAAAATAAAGAAAAAGTGTGCAAGCAAGACAATAAGAAGTGAACTATCTTCCCAAAAAAAAGTGTTTTGTTGAAATCTGGTTTGAAAGGCAACCTGGGTTTTATAATAGAAATCCGATCCCATATTAAAAATGAACACACACACACACAGGCAACCTGGGTTTTATAATAAGTATAACTCTATATGAGTTGTCCCCCTTTTATTCTTGCAATGCCTCTTAATCGTGTTTTCAAATTGATTTTGTGCAAAAACAAAAGTGTTTTTCCAATTTTTGGTGCTGTCAGAACCACTGCAAGGTAATTTTACGTAGTCCTGTGAAGATTTTGTTGAAATCGGTTAAAAAATGTAGGAAATCTGATTCAATATATAAACATACAGACACACACAAAACCTGGGTTTTATAATAAGTCTGATGTTAAAAAACATATATTTTAATAATATTATTAAAATTTTTATTATCATTATCATTATTATCAATTTATAATTGTGACAGTTATAATGTGATGGTTTTGCTGCTTAAAATGACTACGCGATTTCAATGTATCTATTTTGAATATGATCATCCCCACCCCCGTTTTTTAACTTGTCAAGTCCCAGAAGAAAAGATAGTTTATGGATCACCATGTCAACCGCTTTCCTTTCTTTCCCTCTCTCGTTCACTTTCCCTTCTCTCCCCATGTCTATCTATTTTTCCCTTCCCCCTAATAAACCTTATATTGATATCTATGTCTTCCTCCCCCGTTTTTATTTCCCTTTTTAATATTAAAACTTTTTCTCTTTTTCTTCTTTTCCTTTTCCTTGTGTCTAAATAAATTGAACTCCATTTATTTATGTAAATCAGGTCTGAAGTGATGGATGTCTGAAGTCCACAAAATAATCTGATCAAATGGATTTTTAAGGATTCTGTATTCATTATATATATATATATATATATCTCAAATAATGGATCAGAACTGCCATCTGTTTATCCTGAATCCACTAACTACCATGACACACCTTGGGAATGAACAACCTATGAAATAAGAAGTACTTTTACCTTACCTACTGTTTTTTTACACCTGTCTATCTAATAATGTAGCATACCTGGCTTCCATCTTCAAGAATAGATGACTCTTTCTCTAAGCAATTACTTACATATAAATGGAAGATAAACACATAAAAGAAAAAAATTTCAATATCAAACCCCCTCCACTATGAACTGGAAATTTATATTTTTTACTTTAATTGTTTGGCTACTTGATTAGAATTCGTTTTTTTCTTCTTTTGTATTTTACTTGATTTATTCTTAGCAAAGGAAATCTGGTTGCATAAAACAAAGAAAACAACTTAAACAAGTGGGAAATACATGAATATCTAAAAATATCTCTGTATAGCTTGACCTGATTTTTTTTCTTTTGCTGGAAAGAGATTTTTCCAATTTTGTTAAGTAAAATGTTATCTAGTCTGATTTTATTTTAGAGGATCTAGGTCCTCGGTTGAACGAAGACAAAAGAATATTTACAATTAAATTTAAAGGTCTTTGTTTCTCATTATGGAGGTAACATTTTTAACTTTAATATATATTACTTGTGTGTAAGTCGAGTTAATCTATAATGCAACCCCTGTTGAATTTGCATGAATTTTAACTCCTCCAGAAAAAAATTACCTGTGTATAATGCAACCAGTCACCGAAAATGTATGATTTTTAATCTCTTCAAAAAATTACCTGTGTATAGTGCAATTCCCCCGAGATTTTTGCATAAAAAACTGATCATAAAAACTTGCACCATACTCTAGTATATATGGTACTAGATTTGAATTTGGATGAAAATCTAATTGTATTTTAAATAAAGAAGACAATTTAGAAAGCTCTTTTTTTTTATATGTTACAGAAAAAGGGATTTTATATATAAACTCCACAATTAATAAACTTGAGAGAAATTAAGCTAAACTTAATTATATTGGAAAAAAAGATGATCATAAAGTCTTGTAAAACTAGTAAAAATTTAATTTGCAGCAAACAAAAAAAAACAACAAACTAGGATGTAAACAATTCCCTCCCACACCTGGAAATAAATTGGTGAAACATCTCAAAATTTAAAGAAAAGAATATATGAACATAAAAGGGACTTGTAGTTAAACAACACACACTGTTGGTATGCTACCAAAATCTTCATAATCAAAATTCTGACCTAGAAAAAACAGTCTTAATTTTAAAAAAAAAGAAAGAGTACTATTTATTCAAATGAAGATGAATTGAAAGTGTCATGATCTATGCATCCCCTGCATACAACGGGGCTTCTTCAGCTTATCACCTGTTCTTACTTGACTGGCAGTGAAGCATGATATTTGAATGTCATGGGTCCTTACCTATAAATACAGAATGAACTCTTCCTAAGACTATGTATACTACGCCTCTCAAGAGAGAGGGTCGAATCGAGTTGAGCTGATAGTAGTTCACTCCAATCCAGACTGATAGTCATACTAACACCTTCCACATCTTGCATTATTATTTCGTGTAATATACCTTTGTTATTTTTATTCTTGTGTTTGTGTTGTTCTTCCTTGGTCCTAACCTGGACCATAACAATGAAAAAATCTTAAAAGAGTATAAAAACAATAACTGAGCTGAAATTAGTAAATCTAATTTTAAAAAATACATGATAGGGTTGAAGTAAAAAAAAAAAACAGCGTCCATATGACCAACGTAAATCACATTCTTTACACGCCAATGTAGATTTTGTTGAAATAAAATCTGTTTTCTGCTGAAGCTGTTTTAATCAGCGAAACATGTTAAAATAAGTAATTTCCAAAACTGTCTTATAGATTTACCATATTTAAATTGCAAATATATTGGAAATAATTTTATTATAGCAATGCAATGTAAAAAAAGAATTGTCAGTTTTATTGATTATATATATATATATATATATATATATATATATATATATATATATAATGTAAATGCATTGCTAATGGTTTTATGATAGAAACAGATTGAAAATCAGGAAGAAAGATATTGTCAGTGGTCAGGAATTAAAACTAAACATATGTATAATATACATATATTTTTAATGATTTTACTATATAATATATAACCAGGATTCTTCAACCTATCACATGTTCTTACTCAACTGACAGTGAAATAATGTGGAATACAAAAAAAATATTAAACCAAATACAAGTAAAAACTGAGTTGAAATTAATAGAATTTAATTAAAAAAAAATGATAAAGAAAAAATTCTAGCATTCGTATGATTAATGCCAATGTAGATTCATAGATGTAGTTGAAATAAACTTCATAGGAGATTTGATTAAAATAAAATTCATAGTAGATTTGATTAAAATAAAATTCATAGTAGATTTGATTAAAATAAAATTCATAGTAGATGTGATTAAAATAAAATTCATAGTAGCTTTGATTAAAATAAAATTCATAGCAGATTTGATTAAAATAAAATTCATAGTAGATTTGATTAAAATAAAATTCATAGTAGATTTGGTTGAAATAGAATCAAGTGTTCATATGGCTAATGTGAATTACATTCAGTCTTGCCAATGTAGATTTAGTTGAAATGAAATCCATTTTTGACCATTGAAACATGTCAAAATAAGAGATTTTCCAAATTGTCTTATATATTTATGAACTCAACTTCTCAAGCTTTTGTTCCCTCTGCTGTGGTCAGGTATTGAACTCACAACTCTTTGGGTCAAGTCACTTTTTGGATTACTCAAGCAACACTTTTATCCACTGGGCCATGTGTTCCAGATAAAAGTCCTTCTATTTAACCCATAGCTTGGGAAGGAGAGTAGATTCATACTTTTTGTTACCTGCATAAATGATTTACTTACTTAATAATTTGTTGATTTTGTTGCGTTGTAAATTTCCAATGAAATGCCATTTGATTTCTTTGCATTGCTCTAAAATCTGAAATAAAAATTGTTTGAAATTTACAAATAGCAAAATAAATAAAATAAAAAATAATAAAAGTAAGTAGTTTACAAATAAAAAGATTTAAAATTTAAATAATGAAAAATAAACAAAATAAAAATAATTAAAATTTAAAATCTGAAAAAAAGAAAAAAAGTAAATACCGCGAAAATTCCTCCTTGGAAGAGTTTCTAACACAGGCTTATCATCTCTCAGTTGCGTCTCTGTCTTTGGACAGAGTGCGCTCAGAGGCTTCTCTGTCAAAAGACAGAGGGGCAACTGAGAAAATTATACTGAGTGGTGCCCAGCCCTGGGGAACAGCTGCCTGAGGCCGTGCCCTCCCATTGCACCAGAGGGAGGGATCGGTGCTCTCACCAAGACCAGCGCAACCAGAGTATAGTGCAAGCTATTAAGATCAGTTTTTATGCAATAAATAGAATGTCGCACAATACACAGGTAATTTTTTTGAAGAGGTTAAAAATCAGTGAACAGTTGCACTATACACAGATAGGTTAAAATTAATACAAAAAAATACAGAGGTCGTACTATACATGCTGTTGGCTTATATACAAGTATATGTGGTAAGTACTTCCACAGCAGGAATATCGTTAAATTTCAATTCTTAATAAAACAATGGCATCTTTTTACTTCTGACTTGTCTATGGAAATTTTTTTTACTAATGTTTACCTAATATAAGGCCCAAGAGCCATGCAAGCTAGAGGGTTACTAAATGATGTTGTGGTATGAATTTGTTAAATGCAATATGCGAATAAAATAATAGCTTAACATCTCTCTTGTCTCTTCATGTTATTTCCTTTAGGATTTTATAGCAAAAACAATAATTTTTAATTTCATGTCAAAGCAGGTGGAAATAATATATAAGTATCAGAAGAAATTTAAAGTTTACGTACATTTGAGTCATTTCCTTTACTCTCTAGCTCCTGAATCTGAAATTTGAAAAAAGAAATTCCATTTTAGTGAAATAGTATTTATAGAAATGGTATTAATTATATTGGCATAATTTAGCATTGTTAAAATTAGATTAGTTAATATTTTTTTTACAATGATGTTCACCCTGTAGAAGGCCCAAGAGCCACTTGAAGTAGAGCATTACAGAGTAAGAGGCACCACCCCAAGTAAAGTGATAATGCCATGAACATGCAAAGGGACCACTGAAAGTAAAAGATTTTAGAGGGAACCAGGAACTCAATCCTAAAGAAGGGATAGACCTCTACTCCTGTTCAAAAGACCAGGAAGGAGTATGAAGCCAATAACAAACAAACCTATCTAATTGTATTGCCGGGGGGGGGAGGAATATAAATGAATAGCAAATAAAAGTTTAGTGTTTCAGGTAGAGATGTTAGAAGTATAGAGTTGAAGGAGACTTTAGAAGGATGATAGGCAAACCTATCTACTTCCATTTAAAATTTGCATTAATATTAAATTAGTTTTAGCTAAATCAACAGTAGTATTATGAGAGTGCAACTGAATTAGCAGTCAATTAAGGAATATTTAGTTAATCTCTCAGGATCTCTGAAAATTCTGTGATGAGACTTTATGAGATGAAAGATGATTCTTCCCTAAAATCCATTTACATTATTGATATTTTTGGAATATTTAACAAGACGAAAATATCTTTCTTCTAGAAGAAAGACAAATAAATATAAAGACAATACATACTAATGACTACAAAAACATGCCTTGTAAGGTATTCTTTTTCTATGTGCTGTGTACCTTTAGGACATTGGTGATCATGGCTCTCCACAATTTCCTGTCCTTTGTAGCTCTTAATAAGTTTTGTCTATTTGTTATCTCTCCTAAACCTTGTTCCGCCATCCATATCCAACTCAGCTACAGATGCAGGAATTTGCAGACATAGCAGTTGGTAATAATAAAAATTAAAATATTTTAAAAAATTTTAAAAGGTAATTTATAAATTTGAAAAGATTATTATCTTTTCTTTATAATACTAAAACTCTGTGAACTTTGCTTGCTTGTGTTTGCCACTGTGCACACAAATCATATATAGAGAGTGGGGGGAAAGAAAGATGTAAACTTATTATTGTGTAGGAGGAGGGGAGAAGGAAATGATGTGTATACATGAATTGACAGTGAGACCAAAAGAAAAAAACGCTCTCTTTTTCCACCTCTTTCTCTTTTCAACTCTCACTCTTTCCACCTTCCCGTGATTGTGTGCATGCTTATTTATATTTTAGCTTTCTTTAAACAAACTATATTTTAAATATTTAAAAAATATTTTTGCCATATTTAAAAATATTTTCAAGTGAATATGATTTAAAAATATGATTTGTTTATACAGGAATTATTTTTATTTCAACTTTCTTCAAACAGACAATTTTTTGATGTTGAAAACAACCAATGTTTTATAATCTGAACCTTCAGGAACTCAATGGGTCACAGGCAGTATAATACTAAAAAATTGGGCATAATGATTTAAGTTTCTTTCCACCTCTCTTTTTCCACTTTTCACTTTCCAAATAAATGTCACAATATAAAATATAAAAGAAATGTAATGTATTAAGGGCAAAACAATCAGATTGAAATAATGTCCAGCTCTAACAGACATTACCTCTGTTTACAGAGAGAGGGCTGTCTGGACTTGACATATATTATTTCTAATGCCTTTAAATGTAAGAATGAGTGAGCATGACTCAGGATGGTGAAAGAGCTGAGGTATTTATTTTGTAATTTTTACAAAATTGTCGCATATGTCCAAAGTGGGGGGAAAAAGTGGGGGCTGGTCTTCATTAGCTATCCTAGTTATAAGATAAATTTAAAAAGTTAAAAATTATATTTTGGTTAATGAAAAATTAAATGACCCCATACAATTTTTAAATTAGATCATCTTTGATGCAATTTCATGTGTTCAAGGGACATAACTCTATTTTTGTTTTACTACACCTTAGTAAAATGGATTTAGTTGTAAGAAAAACTTACGTAATTTTCCCCAAAATGCTTTTGGCCATTATTATAAGCTGTTATAATCATTTCTGGTGGCTTTGTTTTGCTGACAGCCACCAAACGTGGGGGAATTTGAAGATGAGCCTGGGAAAATAGAAAAAACAAATCAAGGTTATAATAAAAAATATTCAATGAAACAAAAAAATATACAATCAAAGGCTTTAGAGATGAAAATTTATTTTACAAGGTAATCAACTGCAATCTTCTACTTAAAGTGTGCCACAACTCCCACACCTTTCCTCATGATATCTTCCTTTAATGGGACCCCTACCTTACAAGTCTGTCCCTACAGGACGTGAATCAAACAATTACTTAGCCATTAAAATGGCTAAAATTAATAATCAGGCTGGTAGACAAAAATAAATAAATATACTGTTTAATAAATAAAGAGAGCATCTACTCAAATAATGTTTAAGTAATAAAATATCATCATCAGTCCTTTGACTACTTCAATTGTTGGGGGACCTACGGGCAGTAAAAACAGACAACCTCCTCCAGGAACATCTGTTGGCAGATGTTCCAGTATTATCATGACCGTCCACTCTTTGATGTTGTCTGACTAGCTTTTGTGTTGCCATCACTGCTCGCCTTTACCTTCAACAGTGGCTTGCAGAGGCTGTTATGCCATGTGACATGACCAAACCATGACATCATCTGACATTTACTAGTGGTGAGGAGAAATTCCTGTCAGCCCACGAGACTTTCGACCTTGCTCCGTACATAGTCATTGGTTTTGTACTCCCAGTAGGAGACATGATGAAGCATCTCCTACTGGAAGCACATAAAATATATACAGCTTTTGAATTTATTATTGTAGGCTGGAGATGTTTTCCTAATTTCCATCATATTTCTGGTGGTTTTTGTTTTCAAGTTCATATACATATTTAGAAAGAGTTGTGCTGTTTGTGTATTTACTATTGGTAAAGGATGTTTTATGTGCAAAGTTTCCATTTCCAGGGTCCTTCAGTTACTCCTATGCATATTTTTCTTTGTTATTTGCTTATTTTACAATGGCTTTGTATATTATATTGCTTTGCAGGTAATTGCTACTTAAAGGACATTCAAGATTTGCTGTTAGAAGTGGGTTTGGTTTGCATGGGTGATTTGTCAATTATTTTTCTGTTGTGCTTTTCTATTGTGTCATGCTCTCTGTGCAAATGTAGCTTATTGTTAGTGTGTTTCTCTTGTATATCTTGTAGAGAGTACTTAATGGGGGAATGTGCTTGTAAATTTGTTTAATAAATATTTTTTCTACATTTTTGTTGTATGGTGGGTTAAACTATATGGTGTTTTTTCTGTTGGCATTTTTGTATTGTGTTGCCAAGAATCCACTTTCTTTTAGAGCTGTTTCATAATCATTTTTGATGAAGATGGTTTCATTAGAAGAATTGGCAGATAACCTAAAGTTAATTAATTGTGGAATCTGCTTGATTACTGTTGGTGGTTGGTTGGAAGATGTGTTTATGTAAAGTGGTTTGTTGTTGGGTTTTCTATATGTTTGATATGTACCTTTTCTTAGGTTGAGTGTGATGTCTAGCAAATCTACTTTTTTTTAGGTTAGATTTTATGTCTATGCCAAATCCTATATTTTGGAAAATTTTTGTGATTATTTTTCTTGTTTTGTTTGCCATTATTTTTGTCTATTAGTTTCTTAGGATTGAGACCATCATCTCAGTAGAGGCCTAGATCATTTTTTTGGAATATTTTGCTTAGTTAATATAGGCAAAAATGATATAGTCATCATTAGTCCATTACAATTTATTAGGATTAAAAGACCGTTGTCGCATCTACAGTCACTTTCTCACAGACGCGACGTCGCCTCTGTCTTATTTACAAATACTTTCATAGCATTTGCTCCGAGGAGCTGCATTCGCTGGTTCCCAGACTTCATGAGTTCAAGCGCCCTACAAGGCTGGCATCCCGCTCTCACCCTTTCACTGTCGAAACTCCTAAATGTAGCAGTCTCTTCTACTCCAATAGCTTCATGTCTCGCACCTCTCGCCTGTGGAACTCCCTTCCCTATTCTAGTTTCCCTGAAAGCCATAATCTCCAGCTATTCAAATGTAATGTCAATCGACATCTCCAGTTGCCTTGATCTATCCACTACCCTTCTCCTCATCCTTTCTTCTATCACTCCTATCTGATCTTGCTCCAAATTTTCTGTAACCCCTTGCATCCTAGTGGCTTCTCACCTTGCTTGGGGTGAAATGCTTAAAAAAAAAAAGAAGATAACATTTCATTGATAAAAGCAAAATAAATTGCTTTATCTAAATTTTTTTTCAGGTTCTATCTTAATGAAGACAAAGAAAAAATATTTAAAATATAACCAAAAATGCTTAAATAGTTTTTTACTATAAAAACAAATAGATTTTTATTATAATGTTAATGCCTTTTTTAAGCCCCAAAATCAAACATTTTCTCCTTGTCTTAAATTCCTAGGCCCTGTAGCTTGTAATTGTTAGAGTATTAACCAATAGTCATTTTAAAAAAAAAAAAATTGTGTGCCAACAATAAGTTCAATCACAAATCCATGTTCAAAAAGGCCAAAAGGTAAAGCAGTCGTAAACAGTCCAGCAGGCAAATTAGTACCGAAAATGGGGTCAAAAATCCAGCCTTCCACTTGCAACAGAGGAAATGCACTTTCGCTACCAAGCTCAAAAATCATCCTGTCATAATTAATCAAAGCAATGGCCTTTATTCACAGAGTATTTTTTCTAATTAGCTATCAGTCACAGAGGAAAGAACATTAGCATAGTTCTTCTGATACTTAGCAGGTGTTTGCTAACAATTTTTTTTCTTTCTTTTTTTTTGGGCAGACCAAGCACAAAACAAATTTTTTTTTGAGGTAGGTGATTTTATCTTTTGTCACAGTAATGGAACAAAAGAAACATATAAATCATATATTTTTCCGAAAGAGAGACCATTAAGGATTTCATTTTAGCTGAAATAAATCTGCTCCTATTGTTGAATTTTTAATAAGCTTTTTTTTTCTCTACTGACTGCCATAAAATGCAATACGATTATTTTAAGATGATAGTAACTGACTATGAGAAACAGTGTTATTGATTTTTATCTTACTCTTCATCAATGATACACCATGATTTTTTTTTTACTCATGGCCTGTGATTTAAGCACAATGTGTAAAAATGGCATATCTAGCCTAGATGAGCATTTCAAAGCGAAACTCTTGATTTGGTCTATCAGATGTCACTTTAACTTCTCTCAATTTAGTGAATACCAATGAAGAGAATGCAAAAATATCCAAATGGCTTTCTACTATTATTTCAATGCCACTTTTCATTTCCCCACCCCAACTAGAAATCAAACGTTTCTCTTGTCTTTTAAATTCTGATGCCTGGAAACTTGTTATGCCACAGGAGAAATATAGTACAGTAAATTATTTTCTGAATAGATCTTTACGGACTTCATTTTTGTCAAAATATTAAGTTGTCATACATGAAATGATGCTGTTTATAGGAAATTAATAAAAGACTTCTGAAATGAAATAACTAATTTATTTAGTTGAAATAGGCACCATGCTGATGACTTTTCTTCCATCTTTAAAAGCATTATCATCCTTTAATGTGATAAACAGTCCAAATACTTTGATTACCTCTTCCTTATCGGATGTTTTATTGTTTATGAAAAGCTCAAAATGCTTAAATAAGTGAGAATCAGTAGAAGAGATATCAGGTGAATATGGAGAATGAAGCATAATTTCATAATTCAGGCCCTGCAGCTTTTTGGACAGTTAACTGAGAAGTGTGCAGCCATGTGTTGTTGTGCAGCAAAATTGGGCTACTTTTATTCACAAGTCTATGATGTTTTTTTTTCAATTTTTTGTGCATGCACTCAATTTCTCCACAATACAAAGGTTGCTGTTAGTGTTTTCACTTGAGACAAGAATGAATAATGAGTAACCCCTTTGAAAGACCACCATACAGAAACCATTAACTTGTTAGAGTGCAGTGAAGATTTTGGCTATTGCTTTGGTGATTCAATTGATTCTAATCACTGGCCTACTCTCTTACTGTTGTCAAAGAGTATCCATTTCTCATCACATGTAATGATTCGATGCAAAAATGGTTCTTTTTTTGGAAAGCAACAGAGAGCACAAAGTGACATTTTTCTATGAGTTTCATTCAGTACATGTGGAACAAACCTATCCAGTTTCTTTAATTTTCCAATTTTTTCAAGTGCTGAGAAACAGTTGTGCAAAATGTTTCGAGTTCTGGTGAAAGTTTTCAGACCGTAGTTCTCAGATTTTGATCAACCAAAGCATTCATTGATCAATTGATCATGTCTGATAACCGATTGTGGTCTTCCCCTTGGTTTATTTTCAAGACTATAATCTCTTGAACAAAACTTCTGAAACCATCTCTGTACATTTCTGATTTCAACAATATCAAATACCAAAGGCCACTTTAATGTTCCAAAATACTTCAGTGGCAGAATGACCCAGTTTGTACTCATACAGTAAAATTACTTGAAATTGTTTCATTCTAATCATTTTCACTGGGCTCATGAGTAACAATATACTAAGAGAAAAATTACTTGGAAAAAAAAAAAAAAAAAAAAAAAAATCAGGAATAAGTCAAAATTTATTTTTATATACTAAGGAGGTTACTTTGTTAGACGACCAGATCAATAACCAACCAAATCATGTGTCATTTCATGAGTGACAACGGAAATAAATCAGCTTCTATGGTGGAATTTTTAATCATCTTTTCTTAAATTTTCTTTAGTGACTGCTATTAAAATGCAATGTGATTATTTTAAAACAATAGTAATCGACTAAGAGAAATAGTGTTATTGATTTTTTTTCTTCATATTCATCATCAATGACACAGCAGTCATTTTGAGCAAAACTATTTCCTCATGGCCTGCAATTTGAGCTCACTGTGATATTGAAACATTATCCCCCCCTTCAGAATTTGTTTCTGTTGTATAAGAGTAAGTGTTGTTGCTGACACTGGGTTGAAACTAGATCAACAGTGAGCAACATGGGCAATTCCATTATTAAGTAGATCACGTGATCATAAAGGAAGTGAATAAAAATGAAGTAGCGTAATGATCACTGTTAA